TAATTCGCCACTAGGAGGCTGATGACCAAGGGGTCTTCATGTGGGTGCTGGACTCATCATTGCTGGATCTGTACAACTCTTCAGACTCTTCATCATCCTCTGACCTTCCGTGTATGGCATGGATAGCCTTTACCTGATCGCCCTCTACCCGTCAAGGGTTAACCTCCCGAGGTTTTACGTACTCCTTCGTGGCGAGATACTCCACCAACTCTCCTCTCGCTATCATGCTTTCTACCTGTCGCTGAAGTGACCTGTAGTCATTGGTGGTATGCCCATAGTCTCTATGGTAGGCACAATGTTTGCTTTTGTCCCTCTGCTCCAAGGGTTGTTTCATGGGCTGAGGAGTTGTGAACCTCGTCTTATTCTCTTGGAACAGGCGTGCTAAGGTAGTACGGTAAGCTTGTCCTCTGTCCTTTTCCTCTTCTCAGGCGCTTGGGTGACTTGTGTGGCGGCATAAGGAACCTTCTGCATCCTTGTGCTTGCAGCTTTCTCTCAAGACTTGTTTTCCACTGTGACGAGGGTAGCGTGCTGTGCACGGTGGGCTACGTTTTCCTCCAACCAAATGTAGATTTGTGCCCTAGCGTTCAAAGTCTGCATATCCGGGGGGGAATATTTGATCAAAGATGTGTGAAACTTGGTTCCCTGGATCATTGCCAACTTAAATGTTTCGATTGCCGTGGCAGGGTGGCAATCTGCTATCTCTGAAGCTTCCATGTTAAACCTGGATAAGAAATTTTGCAGAGTCTCTCCCTTCCTTTGCCTTATGGTGAAAAGGCTGGCGATACTTTTCTTCTGCTTCTTATTTCCGCAATACTGGGCTAAGAACATAGTGCACAAGGTCTCATAATCAGGGATAGACTTGTGTGGCCTATTCCTGAACCATTCTAACGCTGCTCCAGTTAAACTGGTAGGAAAAACCTTACGCATCCACGGATCGTTATGATCGTCCAGTGCCATCTTTTGCGCATAATGGTCAAGATGCCGAGAGGGGTCTCCTGCCCCATCGAACTGGGTGAAGGATGGCATAGTGAACTTCCTTGGTCTCTCCACGAGGTACACTTCGTCAGTAAAGGGGGTCTTGACCAGGGAGTTCTTGTGCTCTCTAGCCATCTCGGCTGGTGTCTGAATTCTTAATAGCTTCTTTTCGTCGAAAGCATCTTGACGCCTGCGCCATCTAGAACGCCATTGGACCATACCGTGAGCCTATGGCTGGACTCGGCCTGTTCGTCCTGTGTGCGACGCGGGAGATTGTCCGAAGCAACCGCCTCGGTCCTCGTCCCTTGCTGTTGCTGAACCTCATTAGGTCGAGCCCCGTTGGGTGGTGTCCCGTTGGCCGGAGGCTCGTGAACTAGAGGTAAATTCTGGGTGGGGGGTGGTGCTGCAGCATCGCCTGGTGGTGGTTGTGGCGTTAGTCCGGCCATCGCTGTGTGCAGCGTATGAGTTTGCTGCTGAAGCGCAGCTATCTGGGCGACACTCGTATCGTTTGCTTGCCGGAGTGTCTCGAATTGGTGCAAGAACTCCTCTCGCATCTTCTGCATCAATTCTATTTGTTGATTCATTGCTGACTCTCCGTTTGACATTCCAGATACGACTAAGGATTTGATTTGAAGAACAAGTGGGAGTATATTTTTATACGTTTCCCACAGACGGCGCCAAAGTGTAGGTGCAAAATTCCGCTCAACCAATAATGATTGAGAAAAATCGAACAACTCACTCAACAAACAATAAAAATAAACAAGAACAGTATATAGAAAAGCGTAGAATTGCTTCATCTTTTTATTGGAGGTCTTGACCTCTATTTATACATAAAAAGTAGTAGAATTATGGTAGGACTCGCATTGCTTGTCCTCCAATTCTTTTCATGTATGACTTTCTTTACAATTAGAATTCTTTCCATTATTTAATTTTCCATGCACAGTACTTGCCTTGTACATAACTTCCTATCTCAGAATTTTCCTTCTATGGTAAATCCTTCAACTGGTAGGACTTGTGCATTCTTGAATAACTGGGCTGAACATACTTTGATCCGGCTGGGCTTGAGTAACGGACCGGATGTTAAATATTAACAAGTTGGGCTGATGACCTCTTGATTCGGCTTTGATGGAGGTTGGGAGACAGATAACAATGGTCTTGGGCTATAAATACACTCAATTTGGGCTTGAGCATGACGGGCCTTTGGAAGATAGATTTACCTTTGTGATGACGTGGAATATTCTTATTGGAGGGAGTTTTTTCCCTCCACACATGCACATTAATCAAGATTTAAAAATCTCAATCTTTATATACTTTAAATAAAATAAAATAACAAAAAAAAAAAAAAAAAAAAAACTTGATGCATGTAAATTATATATCCGATGAACAATTTAAATTAATTGCATCTTTAAATCAATTAGGTTAATACTGCTTACTTATGGCACCCAAGTTTCATAAGTTTTCTAACCTAAAATTGAACAAATATCAAGAATTACTCAATAAAATTATTGGACATAAAGCACGGCTCGACTATTACGCAACTTCACATTAAACCAAAAAGGTCACTCGTGCATGTATATATTGCATCAAATAGTTTATCCATACAAAATATATACTGGACAATCAAATCATTCCATTATGATGCATGTAATTCAAGATCGATTTCTCATATTAATGCATAATAGAGTATTTCATTCAAGAATCGTATACAAATCAAATTCTTGAACAACATATCAACATGGATTAAATTTAACTGAAAAATAAATAAATAACTATTTATAACCATTCATATACATAAAATAAACTACTTCAAAATAATTTATTCAATGGTTCCAGAAGTGGGGCATAAATAATGAAACCATGAATATGATATCAAAACCAAATCATCTCAATTTTATATGCAGTCTCCTAAAGATTCAATAATTACTATTATAACTTTTAAACCTTTCATCTCAAAGGATATGATATCATTCAATCCCTTTGAACTTAAAAAATATAAAATTTGAATTGAAATTTTTTATTCCGAACATAGTGTATTACCCATATACAAGGTCGAATATATATATATATATATGCGAGAATACACAAACCTATATTACTTGTGACATCATTCTCATCATGTACTAATACACATGGGATCATGCAATTTCGTCACCATTCTGATGGGATTACTATCAATTGGGGAACAATTAATAAATAATACATGGAATTACTACTTCCCATGGAATAATTTTAAAAAGTTAATTAAATATTCAATCCAATACGATTAAAACCATTTTTTTTTCTCGTTTGGCGTGCAACTTTATGAAGAAAACGAATACTGATTACAATTACATAAACAAACTGATTCATACTTAAATCCATTTCTCTTTTCTTCCTTGTTCGGCGTGTTGATTATATGATAGCATTTTTAAACAAAACCTTATATGCTTATATATATAAATCAAGTACAAACACACACAATTTTCAACCTTACATCTTTGATCACTCACGAAAACGGAGGACACAAAGACAGAGAAAAGAAAAAAAAAAAAAATTTAGTCAATCAGTGGGATTTCAAATATTTCAATAGTAGATCATAAATTAATCTTTACAATTTTGATTTTTACAAACCATAACTTGGCTCTGATACTAATTGTTGGATTTTAGTCAAACAAATAACATGTAGAAATCAAAATTAATCATGAATTAAAGAGATGTTTTAATATCATACCTGATTAGAAGATTAAATTTTAGATACCTTTGAGAATTCCTTGGTGCCCTTTAAGAGATCTGAAAAATTAGAGTACTTTATCCCCTTTTGAAAGTTTTCAATATGATAGGTCTGAATAAGGGTTTTAAAACTCTTATATATAACAATAACATGTGTGTGTGGGGGGGGGGGGGACGGCTTCTCTACAAACAAGCATACCTATGTCTTTCTTCTTATCACGGAAACTTAGATATTAATGGTTAGAATTAAATCACACCAAATAAGTTGGAAAACCACAATTCAATGGTATTAAACCATACTCCCAATTAGACTACCAAATTGAAAAGTACAATCCAATCCATCAAATAGCAATAATCACATTGCAATACTATTTGAGAAAACGTAGTGTATAGGACCATAAAATAATTTTTATTGTTTATATATAAAATTTCCAACATGAATACCTCAATCTTAACCCGACACGGTTAAGTAAACGAGTTAATAGTGTCGACTCTTTTATGACTCAAATCCGTTTATGCCAAACCCTTTTAACTCGTCTTGTGTCATGTCGTAATTTGTCACCCCTAGTAAAAAGTATACAAATTCTATTATCTTGCATTTGGTGTACATGAATGAAATATAATATAAGTGATGGTGGAATGAGAATGAGAATGAAATGAAATGAAATGATCATTCTTATTCTATTGTTTGGTTACAAATATGAAATCTGTATGATTGAACTAATGTAAAATTTAAAAAAGAATTAATTTCAAATTGAATTATCCAAACTACCCCTATAAGTTACAAATAATTTAAATTGACAAAGTAACATTCTTTTATAATTTTTTAAAAAGAAATATTGGCGGCAGTGGTTGATAGTGGTGGACGTGGTAAGCGGTAATGGTGTAGGTGGTGGTGTTGAAATGCAATGGCGGTGGTGGCAGCAGGGTGTTGGTAGAAGGCAGTGATAGTGACGGTGTTGGTGGCGGTAATGGTGGAAGATATCAGTGGCGTAGGTGATGATGGTGGAAGGCAGTGGTGTGGTGGTGGTGAAAGGCAGTGGAGGTGAAGGTGGTGGTGGTGGATGAAGATGGCAGTAGAGGTGGCGGTGGTGGTGGTGGAAGTGGTGGAAGTTGGTAAAGGTGGCGGTAGTGGTGGAGGTGGAGGTGGATGTGATGGAGGCGATAGTGGAAGGTGGTGGTGGTGATGAAAGTCGGCGGCGGGGGCGGCGGCGGTGGCAGTGGTGGAAGTTGGTGGTGATGGAAGACGGTGGCGGTGGTGGTAGTGGTGGAAGTGGAGGTGGATGAGATAGTGGCGATAATAGAAGGTGGTGGTGATGGAAGTTGGTGGCGGTGACGGTGGCGCTGGAGGTGGTGTTGATGGAAGTCGATGGCGGTGGAAGGTAGTTGAGGTAGCGGTGGTGGAAGGCAACTACGGTGGTGACGGTGGCGGTGGCAATGGCAATGATAGTGGTGGAAAGCGGTGGCAGTGGTGGAAGTCAGTGGTGGCGGTAGCCATGGTGGAGGTGGCAGTGGCGCTGGCTAAAGGCAATGGAGGTGGCGGCGGTGTGGTGGTTGAAGATGGCAATAATGGTGGTGGTGACAGTGACGGTGGTGGAGAAAGTTGGCAATGGTGGTGGTGATTTATGGACTTGGAGCATGAGAGTGTTTTGAGAACTTGATTTTTTTAAAAAAATTTACTTGGGAATGGAAAAGTCATTTCATAAGTTTTGTTGTGGAATAGATTTTCATTATCAGAAATGTATTTTCATTCTAATAGAATGATCATTCTCACTTTAAATTATATATCAAATAAAAAAATTATTAGAATAGATATTTCATTCATTCACACCAAACGTAGCATTAAATTGCCGTCTTTAATGGTAAAATTGTTTAAATTAAGATTTAAGACATCATGCACTTTAAAGAATCTTTACTCTCTATGTAACATTGATGAGTTGTCCTGTAAATATTTTGCCACAACATAAATTATTATCACTATGTTTATTTTTGACATTTGTTTATTAAGAATTATTTTTGACAATATATGTATATATCAATGCCTAATGGCACCAAATAATAATTGTCCTACCATTATTATTTGGTAGGATACTCTCACCAAATTGGACCAGTGGACAGAATTATGTTGATGCCTATGGCATACTGGCACCAAAGAGTCATGTTAAATGAATCCTGAAATTATGAATTTTTTAAAAAGTTAATTGAACAAAATTCTTTTAATTCATAAAAGTTTGAACGTTACCATAATGAAGGTGATATGCAAATTTTTAATTAATTTTAACATGATATAGGTGTGTATTTCTCAACCCTAACTTGACAAAAGAGGGTTTGCTGCAAAACTTCATGTAGTTAGGGTTTTATTATTATTTTTAAAAATAAAATAGAGATTTTGTGCAACTAACTCTAAAAAGGGCTTTTTTTTTATGGATAGTAATCAATACATTGGTACCTCAATTTAAATCCGTCCCAACACCATCGTAAAAAGGATAGGGACGGGTTTATAAAGACCGTTTAAAACTTGCCAAGCTTTGAAGTTGCTAGGATTAATAGTAAATAAATATTATTTTATTTTTTAGTCTAAAGTTTGACTTGGTTAACAATTATTTGCAGAGATATGTAAATATCAACTAGAAAAATATATTATTTTATCAGCTAGAATGTTTATTTATTTATTTTATTTCTTATGATAATTTTAAATTTTAATCAATTTTTATTTTATTTTATATTATGGTTAAATATTTATTCAAATTTGAATTATATTTTTTTACAAAATATGTATATTGAGAGGCTCTGAACCAGTCCTGACTCAAATGTGAAGTGGGAGAAGAAAAAGATTTTTATTCACAAAACGGGCTTAATCGGAGCATGGGTTAATTAGATGATATGATATATTAAATGTCTGTTGCTTTATGATAAGATTAAAAATCAAAAAATTAAAATATAGAAAGCACCCAATTAATGTAGATATTTTTGGAATTGCACCTTAATTAGCACTCGTGTATATGATTACCATACATTTGAAAGAAGTCATAAAAAAAAAAAATTCAAAATGACCAAAAAGGATATGACCAAAATGACGCCGTGTCCCTTTTCTTTCCATATATATTTCACGTCAGGGTATTTTAGCATTTCAAAACTCCATTAACGGGACAGAAAAGACATGTCTGAAGACTCCGAACCTAATTAAAGGGTAGTTCTGTAATTTCACATAAAGTCTGAAACATTTTTATATAAAAAAAGTCATCGATTATCTCTGTGACGATTATTACCGCTTCATCGCCGGTCAGGCCTTTCTGTCTTCCTTTGCTTGTTTGTTGAACACTCCTCTAGTGAGAGCGAGTATATTAAACCCTAGAAAATTCAATCGATCCAAAACTCACACAAATATACTCTCTCTATATAATATATTATACAAAATATATATACGCGTATACAGATATACATTCTCTCTGTACACACAGATACATATACATATATATATACTTTCTTTTTCTCTGTAGTGACTGAGCAATGCCGGAATGGCCCAGCACAGGCAATCGGGCTTCGACAGAGTCGGCGTTCGAAGCCACGACTTCCACCAAGGGAACGGCTCTGTAGATCACGTCTCAATTGGGATTCGTGGGCCTCCTCACAAGCAATTCAGGAATCGAAGGTTCAAGAGCCGCAAGGTCTCGATCGGCGCTGTCATTGTGGTTCTCTCTCTTGCTTTTGTCGCCTCTGTCTTAGCTTTCGTGTATCTCTCCCGAGACAAAGGTCACTCACTTTTCTGATCTTGAAATTAGGTTATTCTACTTGGGGTTTTTTTTCGGAAAATTTAAATCAATTTGTGTTTGTAAATGTATAAGTACATGTTATGTATGTTTGTTTGTTTTGATCTTACAGAAATTCAGATTCAATTGGTTCTCTGGATGTGGGTTCCGTTTGGTTTGCTGAGAAGATGTGGGAAAATATAAGAAAATAAAATTTTAGTTAGTTAATTTTTAGTAAAATAAAAATAATGGTTTGGAAAGCATAAATCTAAGCTCGACTGAGTCTATTGTAATTGCTTTGATCAGTTAAGGCCGATCCTGTGTTTTGTTTTTCTGTAGCACATGCTTTTGTAAATTGGGAGTACTATGTTTCTAGGCAACCATACATGTGTGTTAACTGCTTTGATCAGTTAAAAGCATCTACTTACTGCAATATGTGTTGGTGCAGAAATAAATGGTTATCATGACGACAGTGACGACTTGAGGAATGATCCTGATTTTCTCACAAATGTGACCCGGACGGAGAGTTTTAGAGTGCTTGAGTTTGGCCGTGGTTCAGGTGCACAGGGCAGGGATTCACGGTACTGGGATAGAGATGATAGGAGAAGGGATGAAGATTACAGTGAGGATGTGTCAGAGCATGTTAGCGAGGGTGCTAGGAGTGGGGTTAGTGATAAAGTTCGGGATCAAATAAAAGGAAGAAATGGTGATAAGAAGTCTTCTGTTGATGGAACTCATAAAAGTTCGGATCATAAAGGTATTGGGCTATACAATGAAGCTGGGCGTGATGAACTGAAAATGTATGAAGCAGAATATGAGGCCTCTTTAAAGAAGGCTGGGCAATCAAGAGATGACAATAGCAACCTGCATCGGCTTCCTAATGTGGGTGTGGGAATTCAAAACAAGGAAGTGGATGTTGATGATGAGTATGACGATGGTCTTGATTCACATGATTCTACATCGGAAGATTATGATGGTAGTGAACATGAAAATGGGGACCACTCCGATGTTGCAAAATTCCACGGAGCAGATAGTAGGGAGTCTTCTAAAGCAGTTGATGCTAGAATTAAAGATGAGAATAATGCAGAGGAGGTTGATGAAACTGCCACTGGTTTGTCCGACGAGCTACATTCTGAAAAATTAAATGCAAATACTGGGCATGACAGTGTTCTTGATGGTCAATCTTCTAAAAGGTCTAGTTCTGAAAGGCGGTCAGCATCCAAAAAGAAGTCAAAGCGACGCAGAACTTCTGGTAATTTTTTTGCTTTTTGTAAACCATTGATGAGCTGTGAGTTGTTAATAATTCAATTTTATAATTATGTCTTTTCTGGCTACATGATCCATTTTCATTGGGCTTTTCTTAAGCTCTATAGAAACTAGGAAATGATCTCTTGTAACTTTTTTTCTTAACAATGAGGAAAATGTTGGACTGTTACCCATCAAAAAAAGAAAAAAAAAAATGAAGAGTGAGAGAGTGTGCTGAACTGAACTGTTGGGGAAGTTTTGGAATGTGGAGAAGTTTCTGCTGATGACACAATGGTTTGTTGTTTGTGCTGTCGGAATGTCATGCTTTGCCGCCCTGACTGTTATTTCTTATTCCTTAAGAATCCTTTTGCAAATGAGCAAATTCAGCATGTGCAGCTTCACTCATTGATGCTTTATTTATAAAATGGTTGGACAAATTTTATAGGCTTTGGAAGCCAAAACAGAAGCTTTGGGCTACATGACAGTAGGAAACCTTTTGGTTGATTGGTTAGTTTAAATTTTAGCCTCATTTATTGGGTTTTGTATATTTATAGTTTTTATCCTTAAAGTAGAGAAGTTAATATTGCTAATGCTGTTCAAGCTATTTTAGTTCAACGTTAACTTTACTGGAGCACTTTCTCATGCTACTGTAGCAGTGAATCAGTTTGGTTATTTTAATTCTTTTAGGCTTCTTTCATCTAGATTTAAACTGAGGTTTGGTGTTAGTTTGAATTTTAATTGTTAATATTTATTTTATTAGGATCTTAAATTCTGTTCAGAGGGCTTGCAATCATCTTTTTGTAGTTAGTGAATGCTGAAATAAGAACTTAACCCTTGGTATTTGTCTGTGAGATTGTAATTGCTTTGTCTTTCTTCTTTTATCTTTTCTACCAATTTTCTCATCTTTCTTTTATCTTTATTCCTTATTTAACAACTGAGCTCTTGTTGTCTTTATACTTAAGCTACAGATTAAATTGATGAAACTACTTCATTAAACCCGATCTCTTCAAGTGCCCTATTCATTTGGTTCTCAGTCAAACCTATTTAATTTCACAGTAAAACTTTAACTTTAGTTCCCTTACAAGTGCTGAAATTACAGAATTTATTGCATTGCTATTCAATAATGCTTGGAGTAGAAGAGAGACATTATTCCATTAATCTAGGTACTGAGAAAACACCTAAAAAATTTAATTTAAATGACATTGACATAGGAAGAATGTAATAGTCAAAAGATGAAGATTTACAAGTGTTGGGAAAAAAACATCTGCCTTCCGATTTTTAAGAATGTCCAGGATTGCATTTGGATTTGGAAGTGGTGGAAACCTATAGAGAGGCAATAATTTAATTTAATCCCAATAATAAAATCAAATTTATCGTTCAAAATTGTTTTGTTGCTCTTCTCACAAGTAAAGCCACACAATAGCCAAGAATGTATGTCACCTCTTGTAGATGCTTGGGAATAATAACTAAAAGAAAGACAAATCGTAAGGGATGACCTAACTAGTGATGATAGTCTTGCCAAACTGAGCATTGAAATGAGTATGCCACTGAGTATTGGATGAATAGATGGTTCACAATCACATTATTTGCTTTACAAATTGTACACATGCGTGCATAAGTAGCTTCAAATTTCTTTCTTGTTTGCAAAGTGTGACAAATGCATGCTCTCTCTCTCTCTTTTTTTTGATAAGAAAGTAAAATGTATAAAAAACGCTCAAAAGGGGAGCGTGTCCCAAAGGAACTACTCAAGGCCAAAAAGACCTCTAAACTTTCAAGGAGTCCACAAAATCTACAATCTCCTGTAAATATCTATAATTTCTTCCCATGACCAAACAAAAAAGAGTAGAAATAATAGAGAACTTAAGCATGGAGATAGGAGTCTCCTTTCCTTCAAAGGATCTCTTGTCTCTTTTATTATGTCCTAATTTTTTGAGTCAGATGAGTATCTTTTACCATTGCACATACATCTGTGAGTATGTGTGGATTTGAGTAATATGCAAAACATTCTGAGGTGCAGCCTTAACGGGCATGGGTTTATTGTTGTGTAGAATTAAAAATCCACTTTGCAGATTATTTTCAACAAATCCACTTTGTAGATTATTTTCTTCCTTGTTTTTGGTCTGAAACCATTTATACTCAATCTCAGGTTCTTGTGACATGAAGTTTTTGAATTCTACTGCAAAGCTTGTAGAGCCTTTAGAAAGTCGGAAATTTGCAAGGTTTTCCTTGCAGTATACAGGATTTGAAGAGAAGCCTAATGGACAGGAGCATTGGGAGCCCAGATTTGCTGGGCACCAGAATCTAGAACAACGGGAAGATTCTTTTTTTGCACGTGATCAGAAAATAAATTGTGGCTTTGTAAAAGGTCCTAAAGAATCCCCAAGTACAGGATTTGATTTGGCAGAGGACGATGCAAAATATATTAGTACTTGCCATATCGCTGTTATTTCTTGCATCTTTGGAAATTCAGACCGCTTGAGAACACCAATGGGTAAAACGGTAATGGATTGTTTCTTTTAAAATAATTTGTATTTTTCTTATCTGTATTCTGTTTCTTTCTGTTTTTGCATGTCGTGCTTCTCTTTATTGAGAGCTGTCTGTTTTATGTATTATCTTTGTGGAACTGTTGAATATGGTTATGATGATAATTTCCTTTCTTACACCTACCAAAAAAAACAGATAATTGCCTTTTATAAGATATAGGTTTTAAAAGCAAAAGAGGAAGTGCATTGTTTACTGTTTTTATTTTTATTTTTTATTTTTATCAAGTAAAGACTTTATAAAAAGGCCTAATAGGGCCTCTAAACTATTAGAGAATCCAAAAACTCAATTATATCCTCCATGAATTTACAATATCTCACTATTAACCCAAAAACAAAGAGTGTTAATAATAGAGAACTTTAACTCCCCCATAGGAGTTTCCTTTCCTTTAAACCCATAGGAGTTTCCTTTCCTTTAAAGGATCTTATATTTCTTTCAAGCCATAAACACCACCAGACGCAAAGAGGCGTAACTCACCAAAAATCACAGACTTGGGCCCCCACTATTCAACCTCGCCAAGCCTCAATCAAATTTCTGGGGGATCTGGGCATAACCCTTGAACCCCAAACAAGCTCAACAGTAAGACCTAGAAATCCCTTGCCATGGGGCAATGCAAAAGAAGGTGATCAAATGTTTCCCCATCTCTCTTACACATGTAGTACCAATTGACCACTACCTGTCTTCTCCGTCTCAAGTTATTCCCTAACACCGAAGTCCACGCAAAAAAAGCCACTTTGAGAGGGGCCTTGGATCTCAAAAAGGCTTCCATGGGAAAGACTCCCCATGGGCTTCCGTAATACACCTGTATAAAGACTGAACACCAAAACGACCTTGGGGAGAAGGATCCCATACTCATGAGTCAGAAACATTGCCCGTAAACTCTATACGTACACCATTTCCAAAAGACCAATGACATCCTTGATGTCCCAATCCTGAAAGTGCCTCAAGAAATGTATGTTCCAAACTGTTCTCTCACTATCAAGACGATAGCTTGGGAAGTGATGGCAAGAGAGTGATCCCCACACCAAATACCCACCCAAAAGTGGATCCCCCTCCCATCCCCCACTCAAAATCTAATGTGTTTTGAGAATGCATCCTACCCCCTTCAAATGGACTTCCAAACCCCAACACCGTAAGGGATTCTCACCTCCCTGGAACACTAACCACCTCTCTCCTCCCCAAATCTGTTTGCAACCACCCTTCTCCAAATTCTATGCCTCTCCACCCCAAATTCCACAACCACTTTCCCAGAAGGGCCTTGGTAAAAGGCACTAGTCTTCTAATACCCGGACCTCTCAAATAAATTGGACTACAAACCTGGTCCCATTGAAACAGATGAAACTTGAACTCCTCCCCCATCCCACCCCAAAGGAAATTTCGTTGCAACCTCTCAATCCTCTCATGCACAGAAGAAGGAATCAGAAAAGAGAAAAAATAGGTTGGAAGACTCGACAAAGCGCTCTTCATCAAAGTGATCCTCCCACCTTTTGAAAGATACTGCATTTTCCACCCAACCAACCTCCTCTCAAACCTCTCCACAACAGGGACCCAATATTCAGCTCGCCTTGACAGTGCCCCAAGCGGTAACCCCAGATAAGAAATAGGAAAAGAGCCAATGCTACAACCCATAATGTCAACCAGAGTGGAGATCTCGGGAACCTCTCTAACGGGAACCAAGACACTCTTTCCCACGTTCACCTTCAAGCTAGAGACGACTTGAAACCAGGTCAATGGACAACTCAAGTACCTCATCTGAGGCACATCACAAAAAACTAAAGTGTCATCAACAAACATCAAATGGGATATCTTCAACTGACTAAAGACGTCTCTGCCCCTCCGAAAACCTCGCAAAAATCCCAAATCCACAACCCTCCTCATCAATTCGCTAAGAGCCTCCATCACAACGAGGAACAAAAAGGGAGAAAGCGGATCCCCATCTCAAGCCCCTCGAACTACTAAAGAAAACTGTCGGCGAGCCGTTCACAAGGACCGAGAAGCGAACACTGGAGATACAAAATTCTATCCATCTCCTCCATCTCTCACCAAATCCCAACCTCTCCAATAAATAGAGAAGGAAGCTCCAACTAACATGATTGTAAGCTTTCTCAATGTCAAGTTTGCACAAAACATCGGGGACCCCACTGCACAGGCTAGAATTCACACACTCGCCAGCAATTAGGACGGAATCTAAAATCTGACGGCCTCCAACAAAAGCATTCTGGGATCTGAAACCCCATCCAAAACATCCCTCGAATCTCAACGCAAGAACCTTAGCTATTAATTTTATAGATGCATCCCACCAAACTAATAGGCCTGAAGTCCCGCACATCGGATGCCCTCCCTTCTTAGGAATGGGCGCAATGAAGGTGGCATTCAAATTTTCTCAAAACGGCCCTGAGTGTGTAAGCTTTGTAAATTTGAATTTTATAACAATAAACATTTACTAACTAGAAGTAGTAGTAGAGAGCCAAGTTTTATAGGTGATGCAGATGGTGAAGTGTTCTCCATTTTGCAGGGTGAGGTATAAATCTCAAGTTACATGTCCCTTTTGATTATTTTAATTCAATATATTAGTGAAATGTGTGTAGAAAGGTAATACCGTAATATTATTTACTGAAAAGGGGATGAAAAAATAGATAGCTGCTAAATAAGTAACATTCCATCCACTTCTTTCCCTTCTGGAACGTCCCAAAGTGTCTTTTAAAAAGTCAATGCACCAAAATTAGAACTTCCCTATATTTTTTTTTAGGTTTTGAAAACTTCCACAAATTAACAATTTCTATCTTTTAATTTTGGAGGGTTAGGTTTGGAATTTTAATGACTGGTGTGTGTGTCTAAGATTAAAAAGGAAGATCTATTAAACTACTATTAGACCGACCATTCTTCATGGGACAAAATATTGGGCAGTTAGGAAATAACATGTGTACAAAGTGAGCGTTGTGGAATTGCGAATGTTGAGATGGATGTGCGGTAAGACAAGAAATAATAGAATTAAAAAATGAACGCATTTGAGAGATAATTGAAGTACCACCAATTGGAGATAAAATGAGAGAAGTTGATTAAGATGGTTTGAACATGTGCAAAGAAGACCACTAAATGCACTAGTTGGGAAGAGTGACATGATTCACATCAGAGTAATGTTGGAGAAGGAGAAGACCAAAATTAACATTGATAGATTTAGTAAGGAAGGTTATGATTACAGCAGTAACATGATCCACATTTTGAGAGCAAGGAAGGTTATAAAAATAAAATGAAGTCAAGAAAAAATTATTATTAGAGCACAGCAGAAGAAGAGAAAAGTTTTGAAATTCTGAAACTAAATGAAATTATTAAGGGTTCGAGTTATAGATTAAAAGATTCGAGTAGAATCTCTATGACAGCCGACGTGTAGTTTCTTGAGTCACTTGAAGTTCGCTATTCGTCTGCCATCCTTATGCGAGGAGTGATGAATCTTTCAGTCCTAGGTTCAGATCTCACGAGTTTGTTTCTTTTTTCTTGGGATTGGGCTGTAAAATTTGGGGTTTAATGTTTAATATTTCAAAAAGGTTTCTGGACTTCCAATAGAAAATGGTCTGGAGGCCCAGAGAACTAACTCATTTAATTAATTTGGAAAAGCCAAACAATAGGATTCATAGGTTGCTAATGGGATCATGACCAGACAATGATATGGGCGATTTTATTGATCCCACTACGATTCTGATTTTGGGCGATCTTGTATGCGATTCAGATTGATTTATAAACTTGTGATCGTATGATCCTACTATCCGGATTTTGATATTAACCAACATGGTAGATGGTGTTCAGATTACTGAATTTGACTAGAATAGAGTTCATTTTACTACCTACACTGGGAATCAGAGTTACAGTCTGATGTAGGATTCTTTATGCTTGAAAAATCCACTCTTTTACAAGTTAGAGGTTTGTGATATGTGCAAGTTGAATCAAATATTTTGGTTATTTGGGGACTACATTATTGGTTAGATTTAGCGTGGATTGTATGGACATAATATATAATATTGAGTGAAGTTGAGAATCAGGTCCAGATACTGTGTTGTGTACTTATGTCTCTGGAGAATTTTATTTTGGAGGGTGGGGCCTCGGTGTTCGTGCCTCTTCATCCCATTATGACACCTGATTAGTTAATTTGTCACCGCAAGGTCTAATAACTGAAAGTAACCTGGAGTATGAGCCTCCTGTTCATGCTTGAATTTTGACTTAGGTTCAGATGTCCTTTCAGAGTTATGCTATAAATTGTGTTATCACCAAGGAAGAAAAAAAGTTTGAACTGGCTTAGTTCCATAGAAGAGCGAGTCAAACATTATATTTAGCATATATGCAGGTGTAAATGAATGAATGGATGCATTAATATAAATAGTAATAACAATAAAAGAAATAATCCAAGTTTAAGGATTTTTAATTTTAATTTAATTTCTCCTTATTTTATGACGAACCGGGTTATGGAATCCGGGGCATGACAACCCAAATGCTTATTCAAACATATATATGCCTAAGAAAGTAAGCCGACTTTACCGATCGTGAAATATTTTTTTTGGTTGGTGCAAATTGTGCATTTCTGTTGCATTATCTAATATGAGTTGAGCATGGTTTTTGGATGTCAAATATACTGCGTATTTCTGTGACAGTTTTTGATTGATAATTACATAGATGGTTTTACTGTGTCTCACATTAGAGTTATTTCTCATTTCAGGTCTCTCGTTTATCAAGGAAAAATGTATGCTTTGTTATGTTTGTGGATGAAATTACTTTGCAAACTCTTTCTTCTGAAGGCCAGATGCCAGATAGAATGGGTTTTGTTGGTATATGGAAGATTGTGGTGGTGAAGAATCTGCCTTACACTGATATGCGGAGAGTGGGAAAAATACCAAAACTTTTGCCACACCGACTTTTTCCTTCTGCAAGGTAAGAAAAGACCAATTAAAGTATGAAATGGGTTACATTGCTTTTTTAATGTAGTTCATATTGCTTAAAGCATTCCTTCCATTTGATAGTATCACTTTATGTTGTCAAGTATCTCTACTTTGATAATTGAGAGTGGGTTTTAGAATTTTTTTTCTCAACATAATCACTTGTATAGGCTCTAGTACAGTTTTTAATTCAATTTTGAATTTTTTTGTGTAGGTAACAATGGTATTCTCTCTCTCTCTCTCTCTCTATATATATATATATATATATCTGAACTCTGTCTTTAAATGTTATTTTGGGCTATGAATTTTATTCTTATTAAACTTGTCTTTTTGCTTCCATGGATGAGAATGTTCTGAAGTTTGATTTGTTATCTTTGTTTTCATTCTCTATCATTGTATAACTGGAGTTCTATGTTGCAAAGTTTGCTTAAAATTTTAGTTATGAAGAGACGAATTCTTGGTGAGGGTTAATGGAATTTTTATTTCATGTTTGAATGTTTTTGTGCAGATAATAATCCTATTCTTTTCTCTCTCTCTCTCCCTCTCTCTCTCAAATAATTTCTTTAAAGGTGATCTGGGCCATCAATTTTGTTATCATTAAATTTAAAAGTCTTTTTTGCTTCCAAGGATGAGGATGTTTTGAAACTTGAATTGTTATATCTATTTCATTAAATATATCAATGTGTCACTGGGGTTCTATGCTGCAATGTAAAATTTAATTATGCGAGTGACAGTTTCTTGGTGAGTATTAATAAGTCATTGCATGAAGAAAATGCACAGCAAATTTTTTTTTTTTGATAAGTAAGATTCCATAAAAGGTGCTCAAGAGGGGACAACATGATGTAAATACAAGACGCCAAAGGTGACAACAAGTGCACCAAATTTTCTTCTCTCTCTCTCTCTTCTTGTTGTTGTTGTTGTAGTTGTGATTCTTATTCTCAAATTATGTACTAACTATACTGTATAAAGAGTAACTAATATAGAAATACTCCAACATTTAACTGTATTAGTGATTGTTGTATCAGTGTCCGAACATTCAAAAACCCCACTTTCTATTATAAATTCTTAAAATTTATAGCTTTTTAAGTATTTTGATTTATATATAAATTTTTGATAAGTAAAGATGTAATAGAAAACGTTCAAACGGGGAACGCATCCCACAAAAGCTACACAAGGCCTAATAGGGACCCTAAACTCTCAAAGAGTCCAAAAAAATCAATTATTTCCCCCATGGATGTACAATTTCTCTGAAGAACCCAACAAAAAAGAGAGCTAACATTAGAGAACTTCAGCACCCCAATAGAAGACTCTGCTCCCTCAAAAGATCTCCTATTATGTTCAAGCCATAAGCACCACCAAACACACAAGGGCGCTGCCCTCCATAAATCACGAGCTTGGGGCACCCACTGTATACCCTCTCCATGCCTCAATCAGTTGTCCTCGCATAACCCACAACACCCCAAATAAGCCCAGCAATAAGCTCCAGCAATCCCAAGCCACTGGGCAATGCAACAGAAGGTGATCAACAGTCTCGTCATCTCTCTTGCACATGCAGCACCAGTTGATGACCACCTGTCTTCTCCTTCTAAGGTTAACCAGCATCAGGATCCTCCCCAAAACAGCAGTCCACACAGAAAAAAAACCCACCTTAAGAGGGGCCTTGGAATGCCAAACAGCCTTCCACGGGAACACAGGCCCTGGATCATCAGTAAGGCATCAATAGAGAGATCGGACATCAAAGCGTCCCTGAGATGAGGGAACCCAAATCCGAGAATCCAACCCACAGCCCAAGACCTCCTGACGGTACAGAACCTCAAGAGCGCAAGAATATCCTCCAATTCCCAATCCTGAAAGTGCCTCGAGAATTGAACATCCCAAATCGTCCTTCCGCTATCAAGCCATTAGCAGTGGGCAACCATGGCATGTCTATTCAAGGCTATCCTAAAGTGTACGTGCATACATATGTGTCTGTGAATGTGTTATCATGGGAACAATAGGAGAAGGTTCCTCCTCACCAGTGACTCAGTGAGTAGACAAGTATTGTTCTTATCATGGCTTGCATGTGTTTGAACAGAGGATGTTGGAAGTATTCTCCTGTAGTTAAGTAAGGCCTTGTTTACTAACTTTCACACAATTCTTACATTCACTCAATGTCTCCCATTTCCTATTTGAGACCATTCTTCCAGTCAACTTTCTTCATGTTCTGTTTTCTTATTTCACCAAATCTTACATGTTAGATAGATCTTTGATTGGTGGTTTATTGTTCAACAATTTCTGAAGATGATTTTTATGCTACCATGAAAGTGCATTAGCAAAGCAGATTTAGAAGTTTAAATGGTGTAAGATATATATTCCGGATGTTCTATGACCATCTCAATATTGCAAGGACTTTTAAGTAAAGCAGAAGCAAATATGAATCACCCTTCCCTTTAATTTAGCATTCATGCAAGCAAATACAGTAAAAATATGTTATTCCCTTTTTAAGAAGTACCTATTTCTTTGCAACTCTTGTTGGAAGATTGATTTTGCATTTGTCCCTTCTTTGATATATTGTTCTCAACTTCTCATGCTGATCAATTGACTGGCTTTCAGAAGTTCTATTAATCCACTATATTGTTGCGAAGACATGCTGAATCTCTGTAGTTGTTGGCATTGTGAAACAGTTGTGCTAAAAATCACTTTAGTTACCGTGTAAATGCTCGGGCGTAAAGCATGAGAATGAGGGTTCAAATCTCGGGAGCAATTACTTTGTGCACATAATGTCAAAGATTAGGTCTGTATCCAATTTACCCCTTGTAGCACCCTGGATTAATGGGGACCACTTTGGATAATAATCCTTTTTATGGTACTGTGCACTTTTGAGGCAAATTTACATGGTTTTCCGGTAGAAATGACACTCATCTGCTCTCTTGCTAGATTTCTGCAATGATATTCTATGTGAAGATGACCCTCAATGTCTGGGTAATCATCTTCAAATTCAACTATCGATCTTCCCTTATCTTACCATGCATTTCAGAAGTGAGTTTTCGAAATTTACAACCTATAAACCTGTAAGGTTTTGTTGCCACGTTAATGTTGTTGACATTTGTAGAAGTGCTCGTGCCGACCCGATGAGCCCATCAGTTTTTAGCGAGTTCAGGTCAACCATATTAATTTCTTGGCATGCCAAGTTTAATCAAACCCAATTATAATTCACAACTTATCTACTGCTTGTACCATGTGTAACTTGTAACATGTTTTTCTTTTATGTAAATGAAAATTTATATCTTAAAAGGATTTCTACTGAAACGTAGGATTGGATCTCCTTAAGTTGAGAGAGAAAAAGAATATATATATATTTTTTTGATAAGTAAAATGTATTAAAAGGCGTTCAAAAGGGGAACACGTCCCAAGCTATACAAAAAACTGAAACTATGATCTCAAGGAGCCCAAAAAGTCCACAATATCCTCAATGGAGGAAAAATCTCTCCCCCAACCCCAACAAAAAAAAGTACAAATAATAGAGAATTTCAACACCCTAATGGAGGAATCCTTCCCATCAAAAGATCTTCTATTCCGCTCTTTCCAAATGTTCCACCAAACACAAAAGGGGGTTACCCTCCAGAAGACTCTCGCCTGAGCCCCCACCCATTGGCCCCTCCAAATATCCAGCAAATCTCGAGATGTCCGAGGCATAACCCAATGAATACCAAACAAATCAAAAATGAGACCCCAACAATCATGAGCCACAGGACAATGCAGCAACAGGTGATCCACTGACTCCCCATTCAACTTACAAAGATCACACCGATTAACAATAATATGTCTTCGTTTCTTCAAGTTATCCAAAGTCAAAATCTTGCTCCAAGCTACAGTCCACCGAAAAAGGCCACCCTAAGAGGCGCCTTAGACCTATGTTACCCGGACTCGGGTACGGGTGTCGGACACGGGTGCGTGTCTAGGGGTTGGATTCGTCAATCTATCAATTTACAGGATACGTGGACACGGCTCAAAAGTGTCCAAATATTGGACACAGGTACTTGGACACTTTGGAAAGTTAAAAAAAAAATTGGAATATTTTTTTATGTTTGAGACATCAATCATAAAACTAAAAAAATAAATATATCAATTGTAATTTTTTATAAACATTTTATAATTATTACTACCATTTGTTTGCCTCATTTGATTGGTGGCATGGCCATAGTCATGGATATGCATTCCCGTGTCACTATTTGATGGGAACCTGTAATCAGAAATTTTAAGGGCTCCTTTTGGGCAAAGTTTGGGCTTGGGCTAAGATGCCTTTTAATTGTTATCTTAGTCTTGACCTTTGGGCCTGCACAAGTCAAAGCACAATTAACAAGGAAGCCCAACTCAACAATATAAACAATATGTATATCAGTCATAACTCGTAATAAAGGTAAGTAACAGCTGTATACCACACGCAGCTGTAGGTATTGCTTTCCAGCTGTAAGGAATTGAATTTTTTACTTTTATTAAAAAGCCCATTATTGTCTCTATCTTTTCAGATCCAAATAAATAGGTAAATAGGTGGCATCATCCTGGCCATTAAGGCTGGGTATTAACAATTGCGTGAAACCACGCTCAGGTAGGTACTTGCAAAGTCAGCGCATGCGATTTCACAAACAAGAAGTCGTCTTCAACCTTTAGATCACCGATTCGAATCAGAGCGCCATTGTTGAACCAGGAAGCTTCGTATAGCTGCAGATCTATTAAATAAAACTCGAAAAAAATCCCTAATCCTTCACAAGCATCGAGTTACACATCCTTTTGTTTATTTTCGTCATCAGCTGTGTCCGGTTGAAGATCAGAGGGTCGGACACATATCCCATGTCGGTGTCCGTGTCGTGTCGTGTCGACACGGACACTCTGGCCGTCGCCGGCGAGTCCAGGTAACACAGCCTTAGACAACCACACCATCTTCCACGGGAAGGAAGCGCCATGAACCCCAGAAAGGCATACAAAAAAAGACCGGACCTGGAACATCCCCTGAGAAGAGTGCACCCAAAACAGGGAGTCAGTACCAGTGCCCTTCACCTCCTCTCTGTACAAGAGAGCCAACAAGCCAGTGACATCATCCAACTCCCAATTCTGAAAAGATCGCCGGAATCGCACATCCCAAGATAACCTCCCGCTATCAAGGCGATAGCAGTTAGCAACCATAGTATGTTTGTCGACAGCAATCCTGAACAGCCTTGGAAACAAAAGAGCCAGAGGCCTATCCGCGCACCAGGGATCCTCCCAAAACCGGACAAACCTTCCAACCCAAACTTTGAATCTAACATGTTTGGAAAACTCGTCCCATCCTTTTCCAATGGCCCTCCACACCCCTACTCCACTAGCAGACCTGACTGGCCTAGCTGACCACCCCCCTCTCTCCTCCCCAAAGCGACAGGAGATAACCCTTTTCCATAATCTATGCCTTTCCTTTTCCATAATCTATGCCTTTCACTGCCGAATCTCCAAAGCCACTTACCGAGGAGAGCACTGTTAAAGGAGGCCAATCTCCTAATCCCAAGCCCGCCCAACTGAAGAGGCCTGCAAACCTGCTCCCACCTGATAAGATGATACTTAAACTCCTCTCCACGACCCCCCCAAAGGAAGTTACGTTGCAACATCTCCAGACGGCCAACAACCGAGGCTGGAACCCGAAAGAGCGAAAGAAAATACGTTGGAAGGCTTGACAAGACGCTTTTCACTAGTGTAACTTTACCACCCTTGGAGAGAGATTACTTTTTCCAACCAGCTAATCTTCTTTCGACCCTCTCAATCATCGGGTCCCAACTTCTCACCCTCCTGGCCGAGTCCCTTAGTGGCAAACCCAAATACGAGATAGGGAAACTTTGTGTCCCACACCCTAAAGCAGCGGCCAGAGTGTCCACCTCCTGAACCTCCCCCACAGGGACAAACACACTCTTGCCCACGTTGACTTTCAAACCAGAGACAGCCTGAAAGCAAACTAAGACACATCTCAGATACCTCAACTGGGACACCTCTGCCTACCGATGATAGCTCCCTAAAAGATGTAGCGTAACACAATCAATTTATCTTATGAACTGGAACCATATGATTTTTGTTTTTCTAATCACTTTATCCAGTATAACTGATTGTTTCTTAGATAGGGCACACCTAGTGTTGGGTAATGTCCTAGTGTAGATGTGCCACATGAATCACATGATTAGTGAAGCTATTTTAGGGAAGTGTAACATAGGAGGCACACGAACCAGGATGTTTGAAGGGTTCATTTCAGGCCTGACCTTCAACTTGATTTGTACATGACAACCCTTTTTTTTTCAGACACTTATTGGTAAATAATTGCTGAACTTTTGTTATAAATTATATTTTAGCAGAAGTTCAGATTAAAGGGAAGTGGAGCTTCGTATATAGAATCTCTTATAGAGTTTTGGATGAGTATGTATTATTTACAGATTCTTAGTGCAGTATCTCTTTCTTTCTCCTCGCATACTTGGGTTACTTCCACCTTTTGGTCCTTCTAGTGGAGTCTTTAACATTTAACTGGAAAAAAAAAAAAAAAAACGAATATTTCTCATCAAGATTAAATTGCTTAGGGAATGGAGCTACTCCGTGGAAGTTTATGCATATTCCGTTGATTGGAAGGAGAAATACCTGGATGTGGTTCAGGCAGCTGTGGTTCCGTTGGTGCTGGACTGTGGTGGGTGGAGGTCTAGGAGTGCTCCTTTTAAATTTGAAAACATGTGGCTTATGGCAGAAGACTTCCAAGGGAGAGCTCGGTCTTGGTGGGAGGAGGCTACTGTGGATGGCACCCCGAGCTTCGTTTTGGCAGGGAAGTTCCATTTTTTGAAGTCCGAGATTAAAAGGTGGGATAAGGAGTAGTTTGGGAACCTCGAGTGGAGGAAGAATAGGGCTCTTTCTGAGATCGCAAAGATTGATTGGCTGGAGAGGATGTGTGGTATTGAGGCAGCTCAGAGGAGTAGGAGAGTGGAGTGCAAAGCAGAGATTGTGGAGATTGCTATTTCAGAGATCTCATGGCGGCAGAAATTGAGGGCTTTATGGCTCAAGGAGTGTGACAAAAACACGTTGTTCTTCAGACTTGCCAATGCCCATCAGAGGGGCAATCATATTGGGAGGATCCATGTGGATGGGTTGATTTATGTAGGGAGGAGGAGGTGTGTAGCGGGGTCGCTTCCTTCTACCAGAGACTTTACATGAGACCTACAGTTGGAGACCTCGGCTTGGGGGGCATCATTTTGATTCAATCTTAGAGATGAAGAGGGGTGGGTTGTAGAGTCCTTTCTCTGAAGAAGAAGTGTTGAAGGCACTGAATAGTTGTAATGGGGATAAAACCCTGGGTCCCGATGGATTTACTATGAGGTTCCTTTTGGAGAGTTGGGCTGTGGTTAGGGGTGAGGTGATGGGCACTTTTCATGCTTTCTATTCCCATGGGCGCTTTGAGAAATCTTTCAATGCGTTGTTTATTTGCCCTCATCCCTAAGAAGGTTGGAGCTTCTGATGTTAGGGATTTTAGACCTATTAGTTTGGTGGGTTGCATCTACAAACTAATAGCTTAAGGTCCTAGTTTTAGATTGAGAGATGTCTTGGACGGAGTCATTTCAGAGTCCCAGAATGCCATCATTGGTGGTTGTCAGATCCTTGATTCAACCCTTATTGCCAGTGAGAGTGGGTTCTAGAATGAGCAGTGGTGTTCCTGGCGTTCTCAGTAGCTGGAGCTTCCTGCTTTATTTGTTGGAGAGGATGGACTTTGGGGAGAGATGGAGGTGGATTAAGTTCTGCATTTCTTCGATGAGGTTCTTGGTTCTGGTGCATGGGTCTCCGACTGGCTTTTTTAGCAGCTCGTGGGGCTTGAGGTAGGGTGATCCCCTTCTTGTTCATAATAGAGACACACCCACCTGGTTAACTACTAAGTTTTAGTATTAAGATCTATGCTACCATTGGGCATGTTTGTTGTTGCAAGTCCTGGGAAATGAAATGATGAGAATAATTGAGCCAATAGTATTTGCAAGCCTTGATCCATGCATATGGAATACAATTGCTGTTTGTACTTGTTAGTTACTTGTCATGAATATGCATTGAACACTAAGAAGTTGAAGAGACATTCATGGTTAAACTCTTCATCTCATATAGTTCCTTGATCTGTTTAGCATCTGATTTATTGTATGAGATGCTTTTCTCAATCCTTCTTCTTCTGGGTAGGTGGTATTTCACAGACGGCCTATAGCAATATGTCTAAGATTTTTGTTTATAATTCTTCTCAGGTATTCCATTTGGCTGGATAGCAAATTACGGCTCCAACTTGATCCTCTGCTCATCTTGGAATACTTCCTGTGGCGTAAAGGCTATGAGTATGCCATTTCCAATCACTATGACCGGCATTGCCTGTGGGAAGAAGTGGCCCAAAATAAGAAGCTTAATAAGTACAACCATACTATTATAGATCATCAATTTGCATTCTACCAGGCTGATGGACTAAAAAGGTTCAATGCATCGGACCCGAACAAGCTTCTTCCCAGCAGTATGATTTTGTTTGCAAGTTCCTATTTATTCTGAAAATTTTGTTGCTTGAGCGTACCCATTTCCATCTTTAGTTTCACATTGTTGTTGTTGTTTGTTTTTTTTTTTTTTTTTTGACAGATGTACCTGAAGGGTCTTTTATAGTGAGGGCGCACACACCAATGTCGAACTTATTTTCTTGTCTCTGGTTTAATGAGGTTGAACTGTTTACTCCTCGTGATCAGCTTAGTTTTGCATATACATACCACAAGTTGAGGAGCATGAATCCTAGCAAACCTTTCTATCTCAATATGTTCAAGGTGAGGAAATCCTGTATAAACCATGTTTAACTCAATTGAACGCAACCAATTGGTAGACCCAAACGGTTTTCTTAATAAATCTTGTATGATAGTTCTTTTATACCCTTTTTCCTTCTGTTGCAGGACTGTGAGAGACGTACCATTGCTAAGTTGTTCCATCACAGGTCAGAAGAGAGGCGGAATATTCTTCGACATGTTACGGAGTAATTTATGCTCATTATGTCTAGTCTAGCTCTTGGGAAGATGGTTCTATCTGATCTTACATTATGCTCGGCAACACTTTTTGGTTGCACCAAGGAGGTATGCTGCAAACATGTTGTAGAAGTGCTGGTTGTTGGATCATCCTACATTGTATATTACAATCGGATGTGAAGGTCAGGCAGATGCTCAAATAAATTCACACAATTCAATCAATACACCTCAGGTTTGCTTGCTCCTTCCCTTTACGTTGAAAAGGAAGAAAACAAAGGGGGGGAAACAAAAAAAAAAAGCTCAGCATCTTCATTGTATTCATTATATTTTTCATTCATTTCATTGTTTTGTGAGACAAGATGAAGCACCCAATACCTTTGTACCAAAACCGTCAAAGTGACCCCTCCTCGGACCATATATTTTTACTCATTAAATGGGTGTCTTTTGTTGTTGTCAATGAGAATTTTGATGAGGCTTTTCGAAGCTTGTACAATATTATTGGTAATTTGAATATTTCCATTGCCTTTTTTGGCCCCCTCAATCGAAACTCGAATGTATCCCCGAGGGTGCAAGAAGGAAGTTGCAAGGGTGGTGGAGAGGGGACTGGGAGATGCTAAACATGCATGCCCCGAGGGTGCTAGTGGTTTGTTGGGCTGCCAAAGACTAGACTAACAAAAGTGTTGATTTGGATTGTTAAAAATTGACAAGAGACATGGTCATGGTCACCGTGGGTCCTTTCTTTCCGGTATTGTAGAGGACCATCACAAAGATGATTTACGGAAACGAGACCTTGACAAAGATGTGCGTGTCTATATATGTATATATATATATATATATACACAGATGGAGTTCACAAAGGAGGTCAATCAAACGCGTAGAATTAAAATTTACTTGGAAAGAAGACTAGGATATATATAGTGACATTAAACCTCTCGAGTCAAGCTAGTGCCAATAAGTACAGTGTGGAACTCAGTCATTGACTCAGACTCACTTAATTCGGTCAAGCATGCTTTCATTTGGAAGACATTAACGTAAGAGGAGTTCGGGACCACGTGTGATTCAAACGGACAAGTTTGGACTCATTATAATAGGTGTTAGAGCAGATAGAGGCTCCTTAATCCAGTGTTATAATAGGTATCAGAGCAGAGCAGGATCCTTAATCCAGTGTTACACCAAGCCTCCCACTCCGGAGGTCAATCAAAGGCATTGAATTAAAATTACTTGGAATGAAGACTAGGCGATATATAGTAACATTAAACCGCTATATATAGTGACATTAAAGCTCTCAAGTCAAGCTAGTGCCAATAAACCTTCAAGTACCATGTGGAACTCAGTCATTAACTCAAACTCACTTAATTCGGTCAAACACGCTTTTATTTGGAAGAAATTAATGGGAGTCTGCGTTGGACTCATTATATAGGTATTAGAGCAAAGCAGATTCCTTAATCCAGTGTTACACTAAGCCTTTCACTCTGGAGGTGTGGATCCAGTTTGTCACTGGATTAGAGAGAATGGGTAGAAAGGTGGTCCGATCACAACGAGAGTCTTAAGCATACAAAAGCGATTACAACTTATTATATGGGAGGAGGAATGATTTTGGGAAGAGAAAACCTATTTATTTATTTTTTATATTATTATTTAATTAAAAAAAAAAAGAAGCAAGCCACTTATAAGAGTCAACTCATAGTCTTTATTATGAGCTCTCTTTTAAAGTATTATATTTTGACCATAAAAATTAATGAACTAGTAGCATTACCATGGTACCCATGTAAAATTACTTCTATAGCTGTACAAATTTAAAAGTTTCAATTTCATATATATATATATATATATATATATATATATATATATATATATATTAACTTATGCACGTAACTGTCCTCTGGATCAGAATGTTAGTTTAATACATACATATACTATGGCCTTTTCAGAAATTGTGCAACCTTAGTTACGGTTGCACAACTATAACGTAGGGACAAGAACAGCAGACAAATGGGAAGCTAGCACAGTAGAAGTAGAACATGTAACATCATAGGAATATCAGTAAGAACCCTAAAACCACCTCTAGCCAAGACCGAATATCTTGCTACAAGTATAGAACAAAACTGTTAACACGACCCCAACCGTGAATCCTAAAATGTATGAAGCATTACAAAACCACATGGATGACGAGCCTATATTTCTAGCTGCATCTGAACCCTCCTCTTGGGGTTGTAATTGCTGGAATTTGATCTTGTGCACTTGTCTGTAGATCGATATCGCAATAAGCACGACTGCCACAACACCTAGGACTGCCACAACCACCACCGTCACAGAAACTGTTTTCTTCTTCTTTGGTGATGGTGGTGCTGGTGGTTTCAGATCCTTATTCCCAGTTATAACAACCACAACAAATGATTGAAAGTTGGGTACAACTCCAGAAAGTTGATTGTTTGACAGTAAAACCTGTGTTAATCCTGTCATTTGAGCCAGAAAGTCTGGAATCTCACCAGAGAATCTGTTGTTGGAGAGATCCAGAACTTCTAATCCGGTCAAATTGGAAAGAACGGAGGGGATAGGTCCATCAAAGAGGTTGCTGCTGAGATTCAAAGCAATTTGCAAATTTGTTGGCAGTGATGTGATATTCCCACTTAATCTGTTCATCCCAAGTTGGAGTTCCAACAGATTATTCAAGTTGCCAATTGAATTGGGTATTGGACCACTGAGATTGTTGCCTTGTAGATTCAAGTTGGAGAGACTATGCAAGTTTGAGATTGAAGGAGGTATCGAACCACTCAGTAAATTCCAGCTGATATTGAGTTTCTGCAATTTTTGTAACTGAGTAATTTGATTTGGAATTTCACCATCCAACTTGTTGAATTGAAGCTTCATCTCCTGAAGATTGCTAAGATTACCCAACTGTACCGGCAACACACCGGTCAGGCTGTTATTAGCTAGATTCAACAGTGCCAACTTCTGGCACATACCCAACTGAGGAGGTATCAATCCACTCAAATTATTGTTATCCAGCTCCAAATACATCAACTGTTGGAGACTACTAAATGATGACGGTATTTCGCCATCAAAAGAATTGCTTCCCAATCTCAATCTCACCAAGTTTGGTGACATATTTTCAGGTATTGGACCGTCCAAAGAATTGTTGGACAGATTCAAAAACTGCAAATTTGAGTTCGACAGAAAGTCCGTCGGGAGCAACCCATGCAACTTATTGTAACTGAGGTCTAAATTAATGAGGTACATTGTAAGACCAAGTGGAAGTGTACCATTAAAATTATTCTGATTCGCTGCGAATCGGTACGGGGTTTTGATAGTTGAAAAGATTGGGGGGATTTCACCACTCAAAGAATTTGAAGATAGAATCAAAATCTTCAACTTGGTAAGGTTTCTAAATGAATCAGGAATTGACCCAGAAAGATTATTTGCACTCAGATCAACCAGACTCAAATTCCTATAACTTGATATTTCTATGGGGATATTACCTTGGAAAGAATTGCTAGAAAGCTGAAGCTCCTCCAAAACCATGGACCGTCCAAGCTTTACTGGAACAGAACCACTGAATTGGTTGTAGCTAAGGTTCAAACTTTTGAGACCAACCAATCCATCAAACTGTAAATCAATCTTTCCATTCAAAGAATTATGAGACAAGTCCAACAACTCCAACACACCAAAACCTTGAAAAGTGGGCAAAGGACCACTCAATTTGTTTCTACTAAAATTCAACACCATTAACCCACCAATCTGTCCACAATCTGTAATGAACCCATTTGGAATTTCATTCAAATGGTTGTTGGACAGATCAATAGACTGCAAGGTATCAATTTGGCAAAGAACAGGGAGAAAATCAGAGCCAGAAAGAGAAAAACCAGAGATAGAAAGTTGGATGATGGAGGAGTTGTTGGGACCGCACGAAACCCCCTTCCACAAACATGGGTCTGAATTTGGATTGATTTTCCAGGGAAAATCAGGAGCTGAGTTGTTTTTGAGAAGCTCAGAGAGTTTGAGCATGGTGTTTATCTGGTTTGGAGGCAATTGAGAGAACACCAATTGAAGAATTGCCAAGAACATGAGGAGAGAGTTAATGGGTACATACCTGATCATCTTAGTTTTCCCTCCAAAGTAATCTACAACTGCAATTTTTATTGTATAAAGTAGTATTATATTTGTTTCAGGTAGGCAGAGGAACAGATTAAGGAGGGAATTTAAGAGATGAGAGAGAGAGAGAGAGAGAGAGATTGGGGTATGCAATGCCATGGGGAGGGAAAGTTGTGGGAAAGATGTAAGAAAGAACGAAAATGGTCAGTGTTTAGCATGTTGTTGCAGGCCTGACTGATCACTGCCAAAGACCAAGACTAACAGTAGTTTTACTTTGCATTGTTGTAACGTTAAAATTTCTTCATTAAGAAAGACTAAGATTATCAACGGGGCAGTAACCTAGTAGTATTAGGTCCTTACTTTTCAAAAGGAAATCTAAGAATTGAAGTCTCGGTAATTTGTGTGAGTACCAATTAAGAAAAAAATATATATACTAAGATTAAAACCATATCTTTTTGTAGGGACCTACAAAGATGATTTACGCTAAAAAAAAAACAGAAGAAGAAAAAGACCTTTACAAAGATGAGGTGTACAAATATATATATATTTCACTCCGAGTATTTTGGAAACTGTTAGGATGTTATATATATATATATATATGTTAAGCTATGTAATTACATATAGTTGGTAGTGTTCTTGTGTTATTTAGTTGACTTGTATCTTTTATATAAGCCTATAAAGGCTTATTAGGTTGTGGGTGTGAAATATATACATACAAGTTCTCTCTCTCTCTCATGATTTGAGCATGGTATCAGAGCTACTCTTTCTTGGTGGCTGCTAGTTCTCAAATTAGTGCTTCTGCTGCGTCTGTGTGTTCTTGTACAAATCAAAATCGAGAGAGAAAGAGATAGTCTCTGATCGACACCGGAAATAAGAGAGAAAGAGATGTTTTTCGCCGGAGCTCTATTCGTTGTTCTATTTAGAGCTGGAGATCTGAAGCTGGTGTTATGGTTAGCGCCTTTGGTCTGTTGTTCTCAGATCAGAAGCTCTTTTGTTCTTAGATCTGAAGCTCGTGTTGTATCATCGCTTTTTTTTTTTTGTTGGTTTGTTGTCGCTGCTGCAAGGGCGAGGGTGTACTAGCCTCGATTCTTCATTCGCGAACCTCTGTTGCTTAAGTTTAGTGTCGGTAGTAGATTTTTGTTCTCGTCGGCGCTGATCGCAGAGAAGAAGAGACGTGTTTGTTTGCAGGTGTGAAGTTATCCCAACCTTGGTTTACTAAAACCAGGTTTGCAAAGATGTGGGGCTGATCCGAACCGTTTGACCATATTCGACCTGTTTGACCAGATCAGCCCGTTTACCTAGGTCCGGCCCGTTTTCCAAGTTCGGCCAGAATACAGATTCTGCATTTTTTTTCTTCTTCTCTGTTTTTGCTGGGTTCACCATGGCATCCAGTTCAGATTTGTTTTCTCCCACATCCAGTC